AGGTAAAGGTAACGTTCACAGGAAGTGGTCCCCCGACACACCCAAGTAGGGCACCCAGAAGACACCCAACAAGAACATGGAGTTGACACAAGGGCGGCGAAAGGAGAGGGGCATGTAATGTGTGAAATAATATAAACTAAAAAGGGCCCATATGTGAATTAAAGGGATAAGGGCTATAAGGGTGAAAAGGGGAGGGGGGTAAAAAATTGGAGGGGGTGAGAAAATGCGTACTGTAATTGACAATCCAACAAGGCAGATTTCACAAAACATGTAAGCATTAAAAAACAAGTAACAATACAGACATGAAAAACACGCGAAGGAACACAGAGGGTACCGCCTTGGAACGGTCAGTGGTGGTTAACCACTAGGGAGTGTAACCGGTTTTGGGCGCGCCAAACCTCAATCTTAAAATACTCTCAAAATGTTCTTAAGACAGTTAAATCATGGTTTAATAAAAAGAAGTTTCAAGTACGAGTATAACAAAGAAACGACATGAAACAGTGCGGAGATAACAGTTATTGTTATCATTTAATCTTGGAAACTAAATTTAAAATTTGTGTTTTTGTTTATCATTTACTTTCTTTTTCAACAAATAGAAAAAAAAATGTCTACGGACAAGTACAAAAGTTTGACAGAATAAAAAGGTATACGTACCATTAACTTGTTTTCAATGTTGCTCTCTTACTTTACTTTTGAATTAGAATATAGGCCTGAATGTAACACCTTTTCTCACTCTTATTCAAAAGTTCATAGCAGTTTTTCGCACTTTTTTTATTTTGAATATAATTCAGTACCAGTAAGAAATACTTAGCTATATAGATCATTTATCAAAGAAATGAAACTTTCTAACCTTTTCCGTGTTGTCTGCAAATATATTGTTCAAAAGTATTGATTTACCTGGGGCCTCAGTTATTGCGTATGGGCATTCAAACTAGAACTCCCCATAGTTGCTTATTTTTAAATGTCGCAAGTTTTCTGAGGTAACTTTAAACAACCGGCAAAAACTTCAAAACACATAAATCGCTGTACCATTTTAACTGCAGTGTTGCATAGAAAACAAACGTCTCTCTGATTTGATGAAGTAATATAGATGTCCTAGTGGTAAAAATAGACTGTACTGGACGAAAACGTCAAAGGTTCGGAAGAGTGCTAGGGCCGGGCCGGAAACTGCTAGGAAACCAGTAATATTTGTATTGAGAAATATTATCTTGATGGTAATTACGTATTACTATTCGTTTATACAGCTTGAAAATTGGGTTATAAAATTTAATTACAAAATGTACTTAAATATATAGTTTTCTTCTTGTCCTTATCTTACTAGTAATAGACGAAAACAGATAATAATCATATTATTTTTGTTTCAGTTGTTTATGGCTATATTTTGAAATTTTATCACATGCCCGTGCCGCTTTTGCGACTCTGAAGAAATGGTTTTGCACTGTTGTGTATATATTTTGACGAGATGTCATTTTAGATATACAAACATTGTGTAAAGCCGAGCAAACTGTCCTGATGCACTATAAGTTCGTCTTTTTTGTAAACATTTTTTATTTTGGATACATGATAAATATTTTTTACTCCAATTGACATATAAAAAGCTTCCTAACTAATTGAGTTCTAAAATATTGACCCCGTGACTTGTAAAGGTTCTCTAGATTTATTAATGCCAAACAACAAATATCATTATACTTGGACTATTTTATGTATCATTTTCCTATTGCTTTTGTAAATTCAAGTGACTGCTGAGGTGAAGCAAATATAAACTTTTTACCAAATAATACAGCAAAAAAGCTTTCAGTATTCGGAGGAAGGTCTTAGGTGCCCCTTTGTGCATAATTTCAGGCATGAGCAGGCACCCTGTAAACGAACTGGCAGTTCACCAGCTACTTGAATAGCTTCCTCACATCAAAGAATCGACAAACCCTTGCGGGATTAAGCTGTGACGGATAAGTGGTTCGTAGTCAGCGTCCTTAAACCACTCAGTCAGTATAAAAGAAATGACATTGCAAACTGCCACTTGGCAATGCATAAATGTAATTTTTCAACAAAGAAGTGTGCATAGGGTTCAATAGCCGTCTTGAAACTCTTATACATATGTAATTTTAAATATATAATTTCAGGCAATTCTGTTTGTCTGGTATCTCACATAATTCAGTACAAAGGCCATTCTGTTTGTCTTTTATTTAACATAATTCAGTAATAATGTATAGCAGAATTATGTACATGAAATATAGAATGACTGACATACATGTATATCCTATGTTAAATTTACGTTTATTTCAAGTGCATTCTATGGTGTTTTAATAATGTTATTGGTAGAATTTTCAAAAAATCTTTTCCTGAAAATTTATGTCTCCATAGAAAATTTATACCTTCCAAGACACCACAGAAATTTATTTGTTCGTGGAAAATTAATGTCTCCACAGAAACTTTTTATCTCCATAAAAATCTATATATACCACGACACCACAGAAAAGTTCTGTTTTCACAGAAAATCAATCCCTCCACGGAAAATTTATACGAAAAAAATTTCTATCTCTAAAAATAGTACCTTGGTCTCCACAAATAATGAATATCTCCCAGGACACCGCAGAAAACTCGTAAATCCGTGGAATACTATACTATAATGTTAATTCAAAACATGAGATTCATGGGCATGACTTAATTTCAACCCTATTGCCATGATTAAAACCTTGCAATTTTAGAGTTTGTTCCTACGTGTATATGCGCCTTATTCTTATGATAATTAATGTAAGCCTTGCTCCTATAATATCAACGTAAGCACAAGAATTGTTCCTATGTAAGCCTTGTTTAGAACTAAGATAATGTAAGCCTTGTTTCTAAGATAATGTAAGCCTTGTTTCTAAGATAATGTAAGCCTTGTTTCTAAGATAATGTAAGCCTTGTTTCTCAGATAATCTAAGCCTTGTTTGTAAGATAATCTAAGCCTTGTTTCTAAGATAATGTAAGCATTGTTTCTATCTCTATGTAAGCTTTGTTTCTCTGAAACCATAAGAGGTATCAACATGAAACTGTGTAGGTAGATTGATCTCATTAAATAAAAGTGCTTAGCAAAAAAACTTTACTCGGGAAGCATCACCCGGTTCAACTGGTTCTTGTATATTTTGTGCTAGTCATTTTCATCATAAATTATAGGTCAATCACACATATAAAATTAATGTGAATCTTTTGAAATAAATTCATTTTTACATTAAAAAAGAGAAAAAGATGAAGGTCTCTTAACTGGTATACAGAAATTATGAAAATACATGTAATAAATATACATGTACTAAATTATCATAATATTTTCTTTTATGGTTCATTTTATTCATTTCTAAAGACATGCGTCTATACAAACTGAAATATTAATTTAAAATCAAATTAAACACTATAATTATTATCTGATATTTTTAAGTCATTTTCATATTTTTCGATGTTAGCGAAAGGAAGATCTCTGACCTTGTGTATAGAATATATGCAAATAAATAGCGATTTAGCCATCATAATGATTATTTTTTTAAATAAATATCAATAATTTTTGAAAATATACGTCTACAAACTGCAATATTGGTATAAATTTCAATTTAAACGCTTTATTTGATATTTTTAAGTCACTTTCGTATTTTTAAATGTGAGCGAAAGGAAGATCTCTGATCTTGTGTATAGAATATATGCAAATAAATGGAGCTAAAATCATCATAATGATTAGTTTTGAAAATAAATATTATAAATTTCTGATAATTATATATACATCTACACAATGCAATATTATTTATAAGTTTCAATTTAAACGTTATATTTAATACTTTATATCTCATTTTTGTATTTCTTTTTCAATGTAAGCGAAAGGGAGATCTCTGAACTTGTGTATACATAGAAATTATGCAAATAAATGGAGATTAAATCATGCAGCATGATTATTTTTGAAAATAAATATCATTAATTTCTGAAAGGAAGATCTTTGAACTTGTTTGATTAAATTATCATAATGATTATTTTTGATAATTAATATAATAAGTTTCTAATAATATATGTCTACAAACTGCAATTTTATTGTAAAATTCTACTAAAACGTTATAATTGATATTTTTAACAATTCCGCTTACTTTCGTCAAAAAAAAAGGTCACTTTCGTATTTTAAGTACACGAAACATTTAGACTGGTCTCCTGCGTATTTCTAAAATACCAATCTATCCTATTAAAAGAAAGTAATTGGACAGGGAACCAGAGTAACGATTTAAATCAATCGCAACTTCTCGGCTCTTTCCGCCAAACTAATGACAAAAATTAGATTCACGAATTCGAAAACCTAGCTAAACGCCGTTTTCCGGTACTTTCTGTACATAGCTCTGGGGAATTCACCTACTAATGGAGTGTAATAGCGAACTCGTTGTTTTTGGCCTTTTTTCAATTTAAATTGAAATAAAACAGTTATTTCTTTATAAGAAAATAATTAAATATCATTATATGAATAATTCCATACAAAAAATAAAGTAAATACACAAGTTTATGTAGAAAATAACCTTATTTATTATGGAAGATTCCACTACGTCTGTTTGAATTTTATTGATTTTCATTATAAATAATTTTTTTTTTAATACTTTGCAATAGATATGAAAGGAATATTGATAATTTTCAAAAACATCAATTTTTTTCACCTTAAACGGTTAAATAATGATAGAAAAATAGAAATATAACGTAACTGTGTTATGTACTTCATTTGGTGTAATTCCCCAGAGCTAAAACGGTAACGTACCGGAAAACGGTGTTTAGCTAGGTTTTCGAAAAGTGTTGAAAATATTTGAAGTGTCTGCAGGGATAAGTTTCCTCAAAATATGCGGGTAGTGTCTTAGGGATTAAGTTCTTGTTCCTAAAACTTCGGATAATAAAAGATGGTAGAAAAGTTCAGATTTACCTCTGATGAGTAATAAAAGTCGAGTTGTTCCGATTGATCAAAAGTAAACATAGCTATTACTGAATTCTGACTCATTTAGTCATTATTTGAAAATTATACAATTTCTATAATAAGTTCCTACATTTTTTTATATTCATTTCTGCACAATGGCAGGGAAAGCAACAAGCTTCGTCGTTGGGTTAGAAACGGAAAATGACAGTAACAGCCAGAGGGAAACTGAGACAAAAAAGGAGGAAAAAGAAAATAATAATTTGTTATCGGTTCTCAGGTCAAAGTACTGTAGCGGTAATGAGGAGTTTAAGTTTGGATATTTTGGAGGAAGACCACCAAAGAAGCGCACAATCTCTGGAGGGGATGCAGAACTTGGGTACCTAACAAATGTTGTAAGTAAAGTTTTTCGAGCTTTAGCGTGTGAACAGTTCAACCAGTTCATTTTAAAATAATCAGAACATTTGGTCAATATGAAAGTAGGCAAAGCCTTTGAACGGGGTCAAACAGAAATATTCTTTCATTTTTGGCCGGGTTGCATTGGTGCAAACCCGGGTTATAGTATGGTGAATGGCGGGCGGGGCAAAAACTTTCGTAACAGTTTTCTCAGCAACTACTTATCACAGCCTTTTAATATTTGGTATACAGCATTATCACGTGGTCCCATACTGTGGGATTTGATTTCAGGTCTGTTGCTCATCCACTTCCTGTTTGCCGACTTAGTTAAATTTTGACATCATTAATGATCAATAGATAGTAGGAAATTTTCGAAACAGTTTTCTCAGCAACTACTTACCACAGCCTCTTGATGTGTGGTTCACAGCATTGACATGTGGTCCCATATTGTGGGATTCCATTTCAGGTCTGATGCTCATTACCAACTAAGTTAAATTTTCAACATCAATGGTCAAGACAGTGGTAGAAAATTTAAGTAACATCACAGCCTCATGATATTTTGTATACATATGCAACCCGGCCTTTTCTGTCTTTGACCCATTTTTTATTTTACATTTTCTGTTTTAAAAAGGTCATTAGGTATGTTATAAACAGATAAACTGCTTCTGTTTAGACTGGTCACCAGCACACTACAACTTTGAAGGGAACCATAATAGGACAGGGAACCAGAAAATGCTTCCGTTTTCAATCAGAATACCTCTGCTTTTATTGTTACCTTGTAAGTCGAAAAGTTGCGACTGGTCAATTATCGGAATTTTTGCAGTTTATCAATGTGTTACAGCGCCCAGCTAGTCTAATTAATGTGGCGTGAACGGTCAACTTCTTTTTCCTATTGTCAAACTGTGACCGTAACAGACATCGCCTGTCCAAAATTATCTCTATGTCTCTTTGATAATTCTAATTAGTTGGACTAAGCGCCCAACATGAAGTAATACTGAAAATTTCATTGATAGGTATAGAATTTTTTTAAGTTTCCCTATATACTTTTTTATGTTTAATTTCCTTTTAGATATAAACGTGTAGTCTATCATGTCTATAGCCAGGCAAGCCAATATGTGGTTGTTGTTTTTTTTCAGTGTGTCAGTAACAGTAACATTAGAACATCAGCATCACAGGGACAGAGTATTAGATCATTATGTCCGAATGTTGTTGATTTGGATATATCAGGTATGATTGTGAATATCTTGTAGGGGTGGGTCAGTGTTTATGTGGCACCAACACAGTAACGTTGACTTTAAGGTGAATATATTTTGTGGGGCATAGGGGTTTAGGTGGCACCAACACACTAGTTAGGGGTGACTTTAAGGCTACACTGGTGGAGGTAGACTTCAGGTAGACCTCATTGTAGCATTTCAGACCATGTATGAGTGGGCCCCTGAGTAGAACCACTAAAGTTGTTCCGCTAGCTAGTCCAGGGAGGGTGTCGAACCCACAGGGGTGAGATCAATATAAGATCCTTAATTGCAAGCCAAAAGAAAGGTGGCAAATCTACAAGACTTATGAATATTAAATGAGCAATGTGTATTGAAAAATTCAGATTTTGATTTCCACAAAGTAGTACATAATGTATTTTGACTACCATTCATAATACTTATTCCCAATAAATGTACTTATCGCCAAAAAGCAACAGATAAAAAAGAAAGTTCTGGTAATTGGCCAATTAGTGAATTTTTAGATACCATAAAAGTACAACCAAATTAACTATTGTTTGAGAAATTAAATAAAAGCCTTTTTAAGGCATGATAGGCCTTTAAGAATTTTTCACCATGCATGCTACTTGTCCAAAATCATGGACTATTTTTAAAAATGATGTCATCCGTTGACTTTACCTTGGATTGATGACTCATTTCATTTTATATTTAACCCATTGTAGAAAAAAAAATACAATGTACCTGGCAGTACTTAAAGATATGCTATATGCTCATCTTTGAGTAAAATATTTTTACTGCAGAAATTTATTGAAATCTATAAAATTCTTCTTGAATATGTATTTTATCTAAATAAAAGAATGTACAAACTTTTATGGGAACCTGTGTTCCATATAACAGGTCAAGTAAAGCTGCCAGTTTTTTTAATGACACTCTTAGTCCACTATAAGTGTGTAGGATTTAAAGCATAACCTATTAAGTTTGTGAGAAGTCAAATCATGTTTATTATCCCCCGCCGAAAAATTTCGGCGGGGGATATAGAAATAGTCTCCGTCCGTCCGACCTTCCGTCCGTCCGTCCTTCCGTCCGTCCTTCCGTCCGACATTTTTGTCCGGAGCATATCTCTAAAAGTATTTGAGTTATCAACTTGAAACTTCATAGGTGGATAGACCTCATTGAGGAGGAGTGCAGTGCACAAGAATGATAACTCTACCCTGCATAAATTTTGAGTTATTGCCCTTTGTTATTTTTCAAAATTGATTTTTGTCCAGAGCATAACTCCAAAAGCCTATGAGATATCAACATGAAACTTCATAGGTGCATAGATCTCACTCAGGAGGTGTGCAGTGCACAAGAATGATTACTCTACCTTTCATGATTTTTGAGTTATTGCCCTTTGTTATTTTTTTAACTTAATTTTTCACCTGAATGAAGCATAACTCAAAAAGTGTTTGAGATATCAACATGAAATGTCATAGGTGGATAGATCTTATGGAGGAGGAATGTTGTGTGCAAGAATGATAACTCTTCCCTATACAATTTTTGAGTTATTGCCCTTTGTTCTTTTTCATACTATTTTGTCCAGAGTTTATCTCAAAAAGTATTTGAGGTATCAACTTGAAACTTCATAGGTGGATGGATCTCATTAAGGAGGAGTGCAGTGCTTAAGAACGATAACTCTACCCTGCATAATTTTTATGCCCCCGCCATGTAATGGCCGGGGCATATAGTGTTACCCTGTTCCGTCCTTCCGTCCTTCCGTCATTCCGTCCTTCCGTCATTCCGTCATTCCGTCATTCTGTCATTCCGTCATCATCGGTTTCCGTTCATTATCTTAGTAACGGTTGCACATATTCAACTCAAATTTGGCATATGGATATGTCATGAGAAAATACAGGTCAAGTTCGAATTTGGTCATGGTTCGATGATTTTTGGCAGAGTTATGCCCCTTTTACTTTGAAAATAATATGAAATTTTCAGTTTCCGTTCATTATCTCCCCAACGGTACAACACATTCAAATCAAATTTGACATATGGATATGTCATGAGAAAATACAGGTCAAGTTCGAATTTGGTCATGGTTCGATGATTTTTTGGCAGAGTTATGTCCCTTTCACTTTGAAAATAATATGAAATTTTCAGTTTCCGTTCATTATCTCATCTAGGGTATTACACATTCAACTCAAACTTGACATATGGATATGTCATGAGAAAATACAGGTCAAGTTCGAATTTGGTCATGGTTTGATGATTCTTGGCAGAGTTATGCCCCTTTTACTTTGAAAATAATATGAAATTTTCAGTTTCCGTTCATTATCTCCCCAATGGTATTACACATTCAACTCAAATTTGACATATGGATATGTCATGAGAAAATACAGGTCAAGTTTGAATTTGGTCATGGTTCGATGATTTTTGGCAGAGTTATGCCCCTTTTACTTTGAAAATAATATGAAATTTTCAGTTTCCGTTCATTATCTCCCCAACGGTACAACACATTCAAATCAAATTTGACATATGGATATGTCATCAGAAAATACAGGTCAAGTTCGAATTTGGTCATGGTTCGATGATTTTTGGCAGAGTTATGCCCCTTTTACTTTGAAAATAATATGAAATTTTCAGTTTCCGTTCATTATCTCCCCAACGGTACAACACATTCAACTCAAATTTGACATATGGATATGTCATGAGAAAATACAGGTCAAGTTTGAATTTGGTCATGGTTCGATGATTTTTGGCAGAGTTATGCTCCTTTTACTTTGAAAATAATATGAAATTTTCAGTTTCTGTTTATTATCTCCCCAACAGTACAACACATTCAACTCAAATTTCACATATGGATATGTTTTTGGAATGCCCAGGCCAAGTTCTAATTTGGTCATGGTTCAATGATTTTTGGCAGAGTAATGCCCCTTTCACTTTGAAAATAATATGAAATTTACAGTTTCTGTTCATTATCTACCCAACAGTGTTACATATTCAACTCAAATTTGACATATGGATATGTCAAAGGAATGGGCAGGTCAAGTTGGAATTTGGTCATGGTTCGATGATTTTTTGGCAGAGTTATGTCCCTTTCACTTTGAAAATAATATAGATACATCTTAGGAATAAGCAGTTTAAGTTTGAATTTGGTCGTGGTTCAATGATTTTGGACAATTACTTATCTTTCTTGAATATTGGAAAAAATTTGAACTTTCAGTTTCAGCACTCATACTTTTGTGGAAATGTATGTAGCCATTATTTTGGCTACAAATATGAAATATGCTATTTTCAAAAGGTTAAGACTGAATAATTTCAGTGCCTTGAACATTGTATGAAAATGGTTTGTGTAAACGTTGAAAAGTTTTAAGGGCTTTGAACTTAAAATGAAAACAATAATTTGTGCAAACAAATTTGGAACTAAATATTATAACATCTGAAATTTTGGCTGCATGCGGGGGCATCCGTGGCATGATGACACATTTCTAGTTGAGTTATTGCCCTTTGTTATTTTTCAAAATTAATTTTTGTCCAGAGCATAACTCTAAAAGCCTTTGAGATATCAAAATGAAACTTTATAGGTGCATAGATCTCACTCAGGGGGTGTGCAGTGCACAAGAATGATAACTCTACCTTTCATGATTTTTGAGTTATTGCCCTTTGTTATTTTTCATACCTAATTTTTCACCCGAGTGGAGCATAACTCAAAAGTGTTTGAGATGTCTACATGAAATGTCATAGGTGAATAGATTTTATTGAGGAGGAATGCTGTGCACAAGAATGATAACTCTTCCCTGTACAATTTTTGAGTTATCGCCCTTTGTTCTTTTTCATACTATTTTGTCCAGAGTTTATCTCAAAAAGTATTTGAGGTATCAACTTGAAACGTCATAGGTGGATGGATCTCATTAAGGAGGAGTGCAGTGCACAAGAACAATAACTCTACCCTGCATAAATGTTTAGTTATTGCCCTTTTTTTATTTTTCAAAATTAATTTTTGTCCAGAGCATAACTCAAAAGGCCTTTGAGATATCATTATGAAACTTCATAGGGGCATAGATCTAATACAGGAGGTGTGCAGGGCACAAGAATGATAACTCTACCTTTTATAATTTTTGAGTTATTGCCCTTTGTTATTTTTGTGCCCCCACGTTAGTGGCGGGCATTTAGATTTACCCTTGTCCGTCCTTCCTTCCGTCCGTCCGTCCGTTCACTTTTGTGTCGCACGTAACTCAAAAAGTATTTGACCTAGAGTCATGAAACTTTACAGGAATGTTGAGCAGCATGTGTAGTTGTGCACCTGGGTATTTTCGTCTGGATATTTTTAGTATTTTCAGAGTTATTGCCCTTGACTTAGTAAAATTTTGCAATTTTCAACTTGTGTCGCACGAAACTCAAAAAGTATTTGACCTAGAGTCATGTAACTTTACAGGAATATTGATCAGCATGTGCAGTTGTGCACCAGGTATTTTCATCTGGATTTATTTAGTATTTTTAGAGTTCTTGCCCTTCAATTTTTGCAATTTTTAGCTCGAGTATTCGATAAGAATAAGTAGAGCTATTGCAGTCACCCGAGCGTCTGCGTCGGCGTAACCACTTATGTTAAAGTTTTTGTAATAGTTCAAATATTTTCAAAGTCCATTGACATATGGCTTTGAAACTTTGCACACTTGTTCACCATCATGACCCCAACCTGTAGACAGGAGGAGGTAACTCTATCAAGCATTTTGACAGAATTATGCCCCTTTTTCGACTTAGAATTTACGTTAAAGTTTTTGTAATAGTTCAAATATTTTCAAAGTCCATTGACATATGGCTTTGAAACTTTGCACACTTGTTCACCATCATGACCCCAACCTGTAGACAAGAGGAGGTAACTCTATCAAGCATTTTGACAGAATTATGCCCCTTTTTCGACTTAGAATTTACGTTAAAGTTTTTGTAATAGTTCAAATATTTTCAAAGTCCATTGACATATGGCTTTGAAACTTTGCACACTTGTTTAACATCATGACCCCAACCTGTAAACAGGAGGAGGTAACTCTATCAAGCATTTTGACAGAATTATGCCCCTTTTTCGACTTAGAATTTACGTTAAAGTTTTTGTAATAGTTCAAATATTTTCAAAGTCCATTGACATATGGCTTTGAAACTTTGCACACTTGTTCACCATCATGACCCCAACCTGTAGACAAGAGGAGGTAACTCTATCAAGCATTTTGACAGAATTATGCCCCTTTTTTGACTTAGAATTTCCGTTAAAGTTTTTGTAATAGTTCAAATATTTTCAAAGTCCATTGACATATGGTTTTGAAACTTTGCACACTTGTTCAACATCATGACCCCAACCTGTAAACAGGAGGAGGTTACTCTATCAAGCATTTTGACAGAATTATGCCCCTTTTTCGACTTAGAATTTACGTTAAAGTTTTTGTAATAGTTCAAATATTTTCAAAGTCCATTGACATATGGCTTTGAAACTTCGCACACTTGTTCACCATCATGACCCCAACCTGTAAACAGGAGGAGGTAACTGTATCAAGCATTTTTTTTACTATCAAGCACTAAGAATAGTCGAGCGTTGCTGTCCTACCGACAGCTCTTGTCAACTTGTGTCGCAAGTTTCTGAAAAAAGGATTTGACATAGTCATTAAACCTTATGGGCAGGTTGCTCAGCATGTTTTAGATTTGCACCTGGGGTTTCGCTTGTGGATTTATCCAGTATTTGTAGAGTAATTTCCCTTGACTTAGTAAAAAGATTGACAGAACAGTGGCGCGGTAGGGGCCCCCGTGTCTTATGGACACATTTCTAGTTCATACTTAATTTTTCAATTCAATTTTTTTCTCAAAAAGTATTTGAGGTATCAACTTGAAACTTCATAGGTGGATAGATTTTACTGAGGAGGGATGCAGCACACAAGAATGATAACCTACCCTGCATTATTTTTCAGTAATTGCCCTTTGTTATATTCAGCCATCAGTATTCATTTCAAATCTATAATCACTATAGCCATCAGGTTTTCATTACCAAAAGACCTCCTGAAATGGAATTATTCTGCTCTACTACTTGTACATTCTTCCAATGAGCAAACACATTCGGCGGGGGATGGCCATGTTGACATGGCTCTTGTTTTATATTTAAAGTCAGAGATCATGTAGGAATTATCAATATTTTCAAATATCAAATTCAAGTATAGTTTACAATGTATCTTTAATATTAACAGCAAATGATGATTGACATTTTGCTATAATTGGTTTTCAATGAAGCCAAATCCTAATGATAATTATGAAACCTGTTTAATTTCTTAGATGGATTTGACCACCTGCTATTTTTAGCTCACCTGTCACATAGTGACAGGGTGAGCTTTTGTGATCGCTTTTCGTCCGGCGTCCGTCGTCCGTCCGTCGTCCGTCGTCCGTCGTCCGTAAACTTTTACTTTAAATGACATCTCCTCATAAACCACAAGGCCAATTTCATCCAAACTTCACAGGAATGTTCCTTTGGTGGTCACCTTTAAAAATTGTTCAAAGAATTTAATTCCATGCAGAACTCTGGTTGCCATGGCAACCGAAAGAAAAAACTTTAAATATCTTCTTTAAAAAAACCATAAGAGCTAGAGCTTAGATATTTGGCATGAAACATCTTCTAGTGAGTGTCTACCAAGTTTGTTCAAATAAAAGCCCTGGGGTCAAAATTGGCCCCGCCCCGGGGGGTCATTGATTTTCCCTATATGCATATAGTAAAAACTTAAAAAATCTTCTTTTAAAGAACTCAAAGAGCTATGGCTAAGATATTGAGCATCAAACATGTTCTAATAGGTGTATACAAAGTTTGTTCAAAGAAAAGCCCTGGGGTCAAAATTGGCCCCGCCCCAGGGGGTCATTGATTTTCCCTATATGCATATAGTAAAAACTTAAAAAATCTTCTTTTAAAGAACCAAAAGAGTTAGAGCTAAGATATTTAGCATTAAACATGTTCTAATAAGTGTCTACCAAGTTTGTTCAAATAAAAGCTCGGGGGTCAAAATTGGCCCCGTCCCGGGGGTCATTGATTTTCCTTATATGTGTATAGCAAAAACTTAAAAAATCTTTTTTTGAAAAAACCCAAATAGCTAGAGTTAAGATATTAAGCATGAAACATCTTTTAGTGAGTGTCTACAAAGTTTGTTCAAATAAAAGACCTGGGGTCAAAATTGGCCCCGCCCCGGGGTCATTGATTTTCCTTATATGTGTATAGCAAAAACTTAAAATCTTCTTTGAAAAAACCCAAATAGCTAGAGTTTAGATATTAAGCATGAGACATATTCTAGTAAGTGTCTACAGAGTTTGTTCAAATAAAAACCCTGGGGTCATAACTGGCCCGGCCCCAGGGGTGTCATTTTTTTTAACTATATGTGTATAGTAAAAACTTAAAAAAAATCTTCTTTTAAATAGCCCAATGAGCTAGAGCTTAGATGTTAAGCATGAAACATCTTCTTATGGGTGACTACCAAGTTTGTGCAAATAAAAGCCCTTTGGTTAAATTGGCCCTGCAACGTTTGGGGGGGGGGAGGGGTTGGGGGGGCCTATATACAGGTGAGCGACCTCAGGGCCATCATGGCCCTCTTGTTAGAATTGTCAGTTGTCAATTTACAGGTGATAAAGATGAAGAAATAAATTTTTAAGCAAAGTTTTACTTTTTTAATAATCAATCAACAGTGTAGAGCCTGGTCAGACACGGACGCATATCCAGAGGGTGACGGGGTGGGTTAAGGATTCTAAGTTAATTTGATTTTTTTTATAATGACGGCCCCCACCCCCTCTCTCTTTCTCCCCCTGGAAAACTAGTACAATTCCCAAAACCTACCTCTTGTTGAAAGTGTCTCTCTGTAAAGAAAAACAACACTGGATCTACGTCTGTGGCTTAACACAGAATGTATGGCTAGGTTTTATACTGGAGGAGTAGGGTGTAAGCGCTTTTAGTAAATTTATAATCAGGCTAATAATCACACAGATCATTATTCAATTTCATTCTACATTTGAGCCGTGTCACGACAAAACCAACATAATGGGTTTGCGACCAGTATGGATCCAGACCAGCCTGCGCTTCCGCGCAGTCTGATCAGTATCCATGCTGTTCACTATCAGTTTCTCTACTTGTTATAGGGTTTGTAAGCGAACAGCTTGGATCCTGATCAGACTGCGCGGATGCGCAGGCTGGTCTGGATCCATGCTGGTCGCAAACCCATTATGTTGGTTTTGTCATGACTCGGCTCATCTATTTCTTTGACATCTTTCACAGATTTTTTTTTTCAATTTTAAGTACTTCACTTGATACATTGTATATGTAATAATTACAATTTTATGATGTTAGGATTTTTTTACCTCAGTGTGGAGCTCCTTCAAGGGTTGAAGACTTCTTTAAACAGATGAAATGTACAAAGAAAAAATTATAAATTTATAAGTTATTAATAAGAACAAAAAGGTGAACTTGACATTAGAAGAATCTGTGAAGAAGTGCTTGAAATGATTTTGTTGTTTTTTTTTACAGGAAATCTTCTGGATTCTTGGAGTGAAATTTTACCATTAATACAGGAGCTACAAAACCTGAAGTTCCTGAACATAGCTAGAAACCCTATTGCAAATAATAAGGTATATTTGTATAGGGGATATTTGTTTGTTTTGCATGTAAGATTGAAATATAATTTCACTGAGTGAACACCAGATGCAATATTTTCACGAGTGGCGTAGCCACGAGTGAAAATATAATAGCTGGTGTTCACAAATGAAATATATTTCAATCTTATATGTAAAACAAATAAATTTTCTTTTTATTTCATGCTTTTTAAGTGATTTTAAGTATTTTTACTGATTTTGCCGCGTAACGTCGCGCATTCTCCTTTGTGACGTCATCACATCATGACGTCATATCATCAATTTTGAAATATAGTTCTGTTAAATTTCTCTAATTTTGTTACATTTTTAACATGATGTATGGTGACATCGACTTTCTTTTCCTAAAGAAGCAAAATTTACGTATGACGGCATTTTTTTCTGCCTGTAATTCCATTTAGTTTGATTTTCTTTTCATCCGCATTCAGATATAGTCCGGCTACAGTGAAAATTATATTTTATAAATTTCACTAGTGGTTAATCAGAATATAATGATCTGATATATTACAATAAAACACTGGAGAGCATGAAATAAATATAAGACTGTGAATATGTAACTTAAGTACACATGGGTTAACAAGGATGATTTAGTCATTCTTTTTAACCCATGTGTACTAGTTACATATTCACTTCATTCGCATGAAATGAATGTAGTTCAGCGAAATTTATACCCGTGGGTTTCCATGATGTACATAAGTATGATATTTCTGTAGAGTACAACATTTAAAAGCATATATATATTTTAAGCTACATGTATATTAATTAATATTTATATTACTGCACATTTGTAATGTCGCTTTTCATTGGATAATCGTGACATTTATATAGGGTTAACACACGTTTTTCCGTGTTATAACGTCTGCAGAGTCCCTCGGAACTGTTGGAGCCCTCGCCCTACAGGGCTCGGGCACCAACCGTTCCTCGGGACTCTGCAGACGTTATAACACGAAATAAACGTGCATTGACGCTCTATTATAGCATAAAATTTTAAAACAGATTCATGATGTATATTTAATACAAAACAAATTAATACATTAAATCCTTGATCTAGGACAGTATTTATCCTATTCTACATGTTTTATGTATGCGTTTTATGTTTCCGGGGCCAACAACTTTGGAAATACAATTGCTCAGAACCTAACGAAATTTCGAATTTTAATTGATTTAACAGAGCTTAACATTGGAGATTTAATAACTCAAGAAAAAAAACACATTAAATTACACTACCAAAGACAAAACATGACCCTCAGAAATTCCAAGAATGATTTCAGATAGACGGTAGAACTAGAAAAAAAGATCAGTGACAAAAATCTTTTTTTTTAAAGCACACTTACTCGTACTGCAGAAGTTTATAAAAAAATCAGGAACTAAACATTATTCTCTTAAAGAAATATAAAGAGCATTTATCAATATAAACATCAATAAAACATTTGCTCATATTCATTTTGTGTTATCTTGTTTTGTAAGTTAATCGGAGAGTTAAACTGTATGACAAATATTTATTTACATTGACAACCGTCCGTTTCTTAGAAAGGGCGACAACCAAGATTAACGGCGATGTCTATACGCCGTATTTCCTGCATAGTTACTTGAATGCTGCTCGCTGTTATGCGATTGAGTCCCTCGAATCAATAATTTCAATTATAACAAGATAATGACTTTTTGACAAACAGGCCAAATTGTCATTTATTTGTTTGTTTACTGGGCCCTGTATTATTGCGCATAGGTAAAACCGGGCTATAACAAGAGCGCGTGACTATGTTAACACATGCTTTTGGTCCCGTTATAACATGGGCAAAAGAGGGAAAAATAGCCGATTTTATGCTATAATATAGTTTTGTATACACGACTGCTGTAGATTTATGAAAAAATCTTGCTTCATTCCTCTAAAAATGATGCTTGCTGTATTATAAATTGGTTATAAATATTTCTCACAGGTTATATGGCCGCATATAAACAGTTGTTTGCAATAACCCTCACCTAGCAGCCATTTATATAGGATAATAGGGCCATATAACCTGTCAAAAATCTTTATAGCTAATAATCTATACTGCAAAAATTATTGTTTGAACTTTAAAAAAGAATACCTACAAAATGTGGGTATGAAGGGCATGATGCATTACATAATATCATTGCTAAATGGATAAAAGCCTATTTAAAAACGCAGAATGATAATTATATTGTTCCAGAACATTTTATTCTGTTTATGTACAAATATTCATTTATGTTAATGATATATATATATCCATTATATTATATATATTTAAATATAGGAAACTTTTATATTAAATACCATAAAGGAAACATGTTTTTATACATATGTATGATAATTATTAGCTCGACTATTCGATAAGAATAAGTAGAGCTATTGCAGTCACCCGAGCGTCGGCGGCGTCGGCGTAACCACTTATGTTAAAGTTTTTGTAATAGTTCAAATATTTTCAAAGTCCATTGACATATGGCTTTGAAACTTTGCACACTTGTTCACCATCATGACCCCAACCTGTAGACAGGAGGAGGTAACTCTATCAAGCATTTTGACAGAATTATGCCCTTTTTCGACTTAGAATTACGTTAAAGTTTTTGTAATAGTTCAAATATTTTCAAAGTCCATTGACATATGGCTTTGAAACTTTGCACACTTGTTCACCATCATGACCCCAACCTGTAGACAGGAGGAGGTAACTCTATCAAGCATTTTGACAGAATTATGCCCCTTTTTCGACTTAGAATTTACGTTAAAGTTTTTGTAATAGTTCAAATATTTTCAAAGTCCATTGACATATGGCTTTGAAACTTTGCACACTTGTTCACCATCTGACCCCAAAACCTGTAGACAGGAGGAGGTAACTCTATCAAGTATTTTGACAGAATTATGCCCCTTTTTCGACTTAGAATTTTACGTTAAAGTTTTTGTAATAGTTCAAAATATTTTCAAAGTCCATTGACATATGGCTTTGAAACTTTGCACACTTGTTCAACATCATGACCCCAACCTGTAGACAGCAGGAGGTAACTCTATTAAAGCATTTTGACAGAATTATGCCCCTTTTTCGACTTAGAATTTACGTTAAAGTTTTTTGTAATAGTTTCAAATATTTTCAAAGTCCAGTTGACATATGGCTTTTAAACTTTGCACGCTTGTTCAACATCATGACCCCAACCTGTAAACAGGAGGAGTAACTCTATCAAGCATTTTGACAGAATTATGCCCCTTTTTCGACTTAGAATTTACGTTAAAGTTTTTGTAATAGTTCAAATATTTTCAAAGTCCATTGACATATGGCTTTGAAACTTTGCACACTTGTTCACCATCATGACCCCAACCTGTAAACAGGAGGAGGTAACTGTATCAGGCATTTTTTTTACTATCAAGCACTAAGAATAGTCGAGCATGCTGTCCTACCGACAGCTCTAACTTGTGTATTTTACGAACGTTTTGTTTTATTTTGTTGCCATATGGCACATTGTTACGATGTTTATTTGATGTCACGAAGGTTATTTTTTAATGAAGTTACTGTATTTAGCGAAAAAAGTAATTAAAATTAATAAAGAAGTAAAATACATGTTGTTAAATTGGACTTTTCTTGTTTGTAGGATACATTATATGAATGGTCAAGCCCACTTCCAAATGTAGAAAACTTGGTTTTAAACAGGACAGGTATCAAATGGAAGGATGTCTTGCAATTTGCGAAACTGTTACCACATTTAAAGGAACTTCATCTATGTGCAAATAGTAAGGAAGTTATAAATTGATATGCTCATTGATTAGATACATGAAAATATAAGAAAAAAAGTTATTGTTTACCTTCAAAAAAGTTATCGTTTACCTTCATTGTGAAGTATCTGCCCTTGAGTTAGTTCAGGGACAGGTAACTCAAAAACGAGAACGGTGAACCAAAAACTTTGTTCATGGCGAATAATTCAAACTTGACCTTAACCTTGTAAAATGGCCAAATTATTCAGTTTTGCTAATAACTTATTTTGTTAATGTACTTTTTAGCTCACCTGTCACAAAGTGACATGGTGAGCTTTTGTGATTGCATTTTCGTCCGGCTGTCTGTTCGTAAACTTTTACGTTAAATGACATCTCATAAACCGCTAAGCCAATTTCATCCAAACTTTACAGGAATGTTCCTTTGGAAGTCAACTTTAAAAAGTGTTCAAAGAATTTAATTCCATGCAGAACTCTGGTTGCCATGGCAACCCAAAGAAAAAACTTAAAAGCTTAAATATTTGGCATGAAACATCATCTTGTCAGTGTCTACCAAGTTTGTTCAAATAAATGCCCTGGGGTCAAAATTGGCCTCGTCGGGGGGGTCATTGATTTTCTTAATATGTGTTTAGTGAAAACTTAAAAAAAATTTCTTTAAAAAAAACTAGGGCTGGGAACGAATAAGGAATTTGATGTTCGAATATTCGTTTTCCATATTCGTATATTCGTTTTTACAACATTTGTTCCAATATTTCTCTTTGACGTATACGTATCCGAAATTGATTGCGTCGAATACTATATTACTGTAATATGCTTGGAATAATCGACGATTAAAAATAACCTTTATTACTATGTAAAAGTTTTTTATTTTATATAATTATTGAAAATCGACATATATGTTTACTTTTGAAATAAATTCATAATTTGATTGCCTTTTGTTCAGTTAATCCGACTGATGATCATTTGTCTTATTAACGGGAGGTAATTGACGTGACTTGATTGATAGTCATACGAATCACTGCAGCCTCTTAGCCCCAATAACACATAATTATATTAAAACTTAACTTGTATTTAATATTTTTTTATTTATTTATAATTTTAGATAAAGTTTAAATTATTCTCCAAATAAATTTAGCTATAACACAGTAAATATCACACGGAGTCTAATTTCTAAGGAGTAAATATATTCTGGCAGAATATAGACACTTAACCATGCTTTCATAATGCACCGATTAATGCGTGTCGATTTTTTCGTCTTCACAAAATTTAAGACAATTATTGATTAATCGGAAAGATTATAGCACAGAAAACAATAAAGAAAACTAAAATCGGAAAGAATTACGTTAGAGACTGTTAATCAGGTAAATTGCAAACTGTGAAATGGGTGCCCTTTTGATCAACTAGACCCCCAAGTTTTCACAGTTAATTGGTGATTATCGTTGACACGTGTCATACAAGAATGTCAGACATAATCCCCTTAGGACAAAATCCCCTTCGCCTATCCGGACAAAATCCCCTTCATGGGTGGACATAATCCCCTTCATGTTTTTGCAAGGCTGGACAAAATCCCCTTCACTACCCGGACAAATTCCCCTTGTTTCATAGGTTTCTAATTATTATTATGCTCCATAAAAATTTATGAATAATGTATTACTATACTCCCTAAAAAAATTGATGAATAATGAACTTTTGTTTTTTTATTTATAATTATGTATCAATAGTTAAACCTTTATTTAGTTTAGAAGTTTTCATTAAAGTTTATGGTAAATTATCAACTGCATAACACATATTTGATTAGGCAATTTCTTTAATTGTTTTAAATTGATTAGTATCAAAAAACATTTTTTTTAGCCAATAATTGTTTCATTGATTGTATAAGTTGATAATTCTAATTGATACATACTGTCCATTGTTACAATTTCTATTGATGAATGAGTGATAATTTAATCAAACCAAGATCACTGTACTACTTGATTGATTGTTATGAATGCTTTAACAAAGCAATTTTAATGTGATTAAAATGTGCTAATTGAATGTGCTTTTCTGCTGAAATAATTTTTACTTATTTATACATTAAGATATTTACCACACAGCATAATGCAGTATGTCACTCTCTTACCCACTTTATAAACCGAGGGGGATTTTGTCCTAGGTAGCAATTTTATGAAGGGGATTTTGTCCACTTCAAAATTTCACACATGAAGGGGATTATGTCCACCCATGGAGGGGATTATGTCCAGATATACAAAAATGCATGAAGGGGATTTTGTCCGAAGGGGATTATGTCCGTACACCGTCATACAAACGTGTGAACACCTGGTCAAGTAAAGGTCAATGGTTAAATTTACGATCTTAATTGAAATTTGAAAGTAATAACAAAAAAAAACACTTTTTTTTTCGAATATTCGTATTCATTTTTCAATGTTCGAATATTTGGTAGTGTTTCGAATATTCGAATATAATTCCCGGCCCTAAAAAAACCCCAAAGAGCTAAGCATGAAACATCTTCTTGTGAGTGTCTACCAAGTTTGTTCAAATAAAAGTCATGGGGTCAATATTGGCCTTGCCTAAGTGCGGGGAGGGGTGTCATTGTTTTTCCCTATATGTGTATAGTAAAAACTTAAAAAACTTCTACCAAAACCCCAAAAAGCTATAGCTTAGATATTTATCATGAAACATTTTCTAATGGGTGTCTACCAAGTTTGTTCAAATAAAAGCACCTGGGTTAAAATTGGCCCCACCCGGAGGCCTATATACAGGTGAGCGATATCAGGGCCATCATGGCCCTCTTGTTAATACATAATTAGACAAATGAAGACTTTCTACATATAATGTTCATAATTCAAATACGATCTTTTTGAATGGCCTTGACTGTCAAGGTCTTGTGTAAAGGCACAAGCTACGGTTATTTATAAAATAGGCGGAATGAAAAACTTGTAATAGAATTTATTTAGAATTCATTCAAAACTTTGCATGATTTTGAATGTGATAACAGAACAATTTAAGCAAAAAATGGAGTATTAGATCATGTTTTTTTTTTATGATTACAGATTTCAGAGATATACCAGAAGGGAAACATCTTGGTCTACGTAGTGTTGAATGTCTGAGAATGAATGATAATCACATTACAAGGTAAATATAAACATTCTGAATATTAAACTTAGGAAAAAATTCTCTCTTGCAGCTGAGGGGTTGCGTTTAAGGGTTGAGGCATCAAAATTGCAGCCAAAGTTTATTTCTGCATGATTGTAAGAGGTGACTAAATGGATTTCGAACAACTGGAGTCTATGCATTTCTTAACTCCAGCAGGTGACGTGGTTTTGACCCCCTGGTGTTGCATTAAGTTTGTAACACCCGAGGTTAGCCAAAATCATCTTTCTAGTTTCGGCAGGGTATGACAAAAATTGCTCTGGTGTGCCGTAAAACCAAACAAAACAAAATAAATTAGGAAATATTAGTTGATATCAGGTTTTAAGGTGTTTTTAAGTCATACAGTGTGAAGGCCATATGGCAACTGTCCAGCTTTAATTTTGGCCTAAACCTTTGATTGCATCTTAAAATTTTCTTTATTCAGTACAGTGACTGTAATAATGCACTTGACTATAGTAAGTAATAATGAGATGCATGTTGGTATATGGAATAAATATTTACCTCCCTTGCCAGTTATGTTGACCCATTATTCTCTTCAATATAGTTCACGAAATAGAAAAAAAGCAATATAAACACCTGACAAAGGGAAATTATCTGATCCTTCTTTATATATAATTATATGAAAACGGCATAAATGTTTTTAATGTAATTAAAAACCCTAACCTTACTATTGATTTTAAAAGATTCAGAAGAAAATTTTTTTCTTATTTAAGCTGATATTTTAAAATTTTTGATAAGCTTAAAAATGCCGACCAGGGGACGTAATACATGCTATTGGAAAGGCATCTACGTGTATATAAAATATTTGAATGTTTATAATATTATAATTCTAGTTCTAACAATAAGAAATTGTAACCACTTTCCTGTTCAATACAGTATAATATTTTTCATGACTTCAGCTCAAAAAAAGTTCTAACTTATTACATGTATATGATTATCATAAATTAATATAATTTTATAAGATTTTGTCTGTATGTTTTCTCACAGCATCTCTTGTCATCACTAATTTTGTTTTATGGGTGTAAAAGTTTAGTTGAGAAACTAAAATATACACAATAAAAAAAACTGAAAGTCACTTTTGTAAAAGTGTGTCTTTGTTGTTTTAAAGGCTGCAGGTTGTATAACAAAACTGAAAAGAGTATTTCCTGACAAAATATTCAATAATGACATAAGAAAATGAAATTTTGTTTTCTTTTTATACTTTAGTTGGGATGAAGTTTGGAAACTCCGTCATTTACCAGGCTTAAAGTCACTGATCCTATCTGGAAATCCTTTAGTTGATATACATTACAAAGCAGGTGACCTTGACCCTGATTGTAACTGTTCCTGTCATGAAACTGTAACTGTTGATGACATCACTGCTGTCGACAGTGACAAAGTTAATGATAACCATGATGGAGATGCAGTAAAACTTGATGATGCCACTGTTGCTAATAGTGATGACGTTATTGAATCGCTTCAAGAAGAAGTTCGCCAATATTGTGAAAACATACTGAACTCTGTAATTGATGAGGCTATAAGAAATGATATTGCACAGTCCAGTGTGTTACAAGGCAATGATGAAGAAAGCATGATGTGTGAACAAGAGGAAAACAGCCCAACTACAAGTATTGGTGTAGTTGAATGTTCTGAAAGACCTAAAGATCAGCTGGTAGATTCAGGGTCTGAAAGTTTGTTTGATATAAAAGATAAGGAAGATCAGGAATGTTTAAAGCAACTGAGTAGAGAGATTGTAGAGCTTATCTTAAGGAGAGCTTTTGATGTTGTCGTTGAAGAGGCCAAAGTTGAGTCTGCCGCGGAGACAAATGCAAAATTTGATCCAGAAATGAACCAAAAGGATGCAGATTGTGCTGATGAAAATAAAGAAAACAATGAGCTGAAAAATGGAGAAGGGACAGATGGGAAAGGCTTAAACAGTGGAGATGACTCTTGTTGTCTTTGTGATGAAGAACCTGTCAGTCAAAAACCGTTTATCTCCCTTGAAACTTTGTGTGTGAGTGAGACAAAGATTGGTAAATGGAAACATCTGAGTGCACTGCGAACATTCCCTGCTCTAAAATCAGTTAGAATGAAGGTAAAACTTTGAAATGAATTTATTATAATGAAAATATGTAATATCTGTCAATTTTCTCTTTTTTATACACCTTTTTATCATAAAAAAGAGATTTATAATGGAAATGTTTTTAGCCGGCAGCCAGTGTCCAGGCAACATTCAGTATTGTCCAGAGCACAATGTTCTTCATGCATGGATGGATTTTAATAATATTGCTTGACAAAAATATGAGGTTGTGTCTTGTGCATGAACAAAGTTACTAGGTCAAAGGTTAAGGGCACACTTAGAGGTCAAAGAAAAACATTTGTCTAGAGCAAACTTCAACATGCAGTAAAAGACTTAAATGTAACTTGGCACAAATATTTCGATGATAAGATGGTTTGTCTTGCTTGAAATTTGGGTTCCTGCAGCAAAGGTCAAGGTCACATTTAGAGGTCAAAATTCAGTTGAAAATGTGTGTATGGACAGTTTAATTTCTTTGAATGGAGAGATAATATAAAAAATGTCTACTATTTAGAGACAAGACTTTATTTTGCCAGCATAATTCAGGTCAATTTATGCAAGGTCAAGGTCACCAGAGGTGATTTAATATAAAGAGCATATCTTCTATATGCACTGAGGGATCTTAGTATATCTTGACACAAATGTTCACCATTATGAGACAGTGTTACACCCATGGAGGCATGCAGCCTTAAACTTTTACTTAACTAGAAAAAATAATTGTTTCAGAATGTGAAATTAGGATCAAAACTAAGTGATGAAGACAGAAGAAAACTATTCATGGCAAGGTATGTGCTGAACTCTTATACGTGTTTCACATTAAGTTTGAACTCTTTGACCCCCAAAATTGAACAAGTATGAACATAATGAATTTTCATTTGTGTAATGCCAGCCTATAAAGCGACTTTTATAGCTATCATATCTAAATAATTGTTACTGTGAAAGAGTCTTAAGTCTCTTGAAACTGGTAATAACCTGTGCCAATAGATTAATCCCAGGCTTTTTGGCCCATCAGCGTTTTCTAGATTAAAAGGAGCTCAACAGGTCAAAAACAATAAAAATATTTGAAATTCTAACTTGAAAACTCTGCAAAAGGTTATAAAGAAATATGCCCAGAATTAAATTGAAAATCAATTTTTTGTACGATTCTTAGCCCGAATGAGTAATAAGCAATGCAACGCTTTTCCTAAGAAATACTGAAAAGAGGTTTTAAAAGGTATCGGGTATTTATTGCAAGTAAGCAATTTTATGGTACTGGGCTTCAAAATGGCTAGGAAAAGGCATATTTAGCATTTTGTCTATGAAATGCTTTAAAATTTCTAATAGTCTGTTCCAAGTTCAAAGGAGGATATGTAAATTGCCCATATTCAATAGATATAGGGTTTAAATTTCTAGAATAGCTATGGGATGTTACAAATTCAGAAAGTAATTTAGTGGTGTGGAGAAATTTAGTGGTTTTGAAAATGAAAATTGTACAGTAAAGGTCAAACATCTTTTTGCAGTTTACCAAATGTCAAACTGCTCAATGGAAGTGAAGTGACTCCATCAGAGAGAGAAAAATCTGAGCGTTTCCTATTAAGGCATTTCTACGATAAAAAATTGAAGCCTGATATATATCATACACTAGAGAAAAGACATGGTAAGTCAGAAATACTGATATATGTATACATGTATATCATTCACTAGAGAAAAGACATGGTAAGTCAGAAATACTGATATATTATACACTGGCGAAAAGACATGTTATGTCAGAGATACTGATATATATCATACACTAGAGAAAAGACATGGTTAGTCAAAAATGATGATATATATATATATGATACACTGGAGGGAAAAAATGGTAAGTCAGAAATACTGATATATATCATATGATAGAGAAATAAGTCATGGTAATTCAGAAATACTGATATTTACATATATACCATACACTAGAGAAAAGACATGGTAAGTCAGAAATACTGATATTTACATATATACCATACACTAGAGAAAAGACATGGTAATTCAGAAATACTGATATTTACATATATACCATACACTAGAGAAAAGACATGGTAAGTCAGAAATACTGATATATATCATATGATAGAGGAATAAGAGATGGTCAGTGAAATTTACTGATGAAAATATAATATCTAATTGATAAATATGGCAATGAAAGTGACCTATTTTGATATATTTAACATAATTAGAAAAGACATAGTAAGTCAAATAATCTGATATAATTATCCTATAGTTGAGAAAAGAGAGAAATGTGATATATATCATATACTTTAGAAAATTGGTATGCAAATTATATATATTTATATAATAATTATTGTATATTATGGGGAAAAATGCCATGGAAAGGGAAATGTCCTGATATATATCACATACTTCAGAAAAGACATAGTGTGACAAAAAACCTTATATATTTGTCATTACCTTAAGGCAAATAACTTGATTTATTTAATTTTACCCATAAAATATGGTGCTATATCAGTCAAATATATTTCATATTTTTAACCTGAAAACAAATAACCTGATATATAACATACACTCGAGACAAATAACCTGATATATACATGTATATCATTTGCTTGAGAAAGTACTTAGAAAGGCAAATAACCTAATATATATCCAATACTTGAGAAAATATATATCATTAAATCATGATTTCACTCATGTTTATGTTCAAAATTAATTGTGGGGAATTTCTCAAATATTCCAAATGCAAATTTTTGTGTACGTCCAGTACTGAGCTACAAATTGCCATTTTTCAGAGGTTTTACTGCATATACATGTATTTTATTAAAGGTCAGCTCACTCCATTGGTAGACGTAGATATAAGCAAAGGGTTGACAGATTATGTGACAGTGAGGTTTATTCATAATGGCAAATTGGCGTTCACAGAGACCATTTCTGTAAGAAGTATGGCCGACACTTTGAGGAACCTTATCGCAAAGAAAATTGATGAAAGGTATTTCCTTATCCTTATTAAAGCTGCCTTAAAATCAGCTTTTCTAAAGGTTAAATTTTTTTTTAAATAAATTGTTCCATATTATTGTCAAATTAAAGGAATGAAGGTGGAAAATGAAACATTTGCCTCTAATAGAAGACAACACCTTGTTACCTCTAATCTACCTGTCTGCTATCTATTATGTAAATGAGTAAAGCGGACGATTATGTTTGTCTGAACTTTCTGTGAAAGACTAACTAGTGTAAACCCTGAGACAACATCACTATAACCACTATGGCTGGTTTACATGAGAGTATGATGAATGTTGGCCATTTCAATGTCTATCATCAATCGACTCAATCAAACAAAGACTGCTGGCAGATATCTATTTCTGTTGTCGTTACTCACAAGTGATCTCCCTTTGTAGAAAATATGGTTTGAATTAAAACACAGTATGTTTATATAGGTTTGGTCATCAATCAGGCTTTCATAACTTCAGACTTTGTTGATCAATTGGGCTTTCATGCTGTCAAGCTTTGTCCGTCATGCAGTGAATTTTGTACACTTTCTGTCCATCAACAGTGACAAAACGGGAAAGTCGCAGTATCCGTGTCCTGTAGACACATTTCTAGTTTTGACTATTGTTTCCCAATTTTCATACATTCAACTCAATTGGGTTCATTACATGTAGTTTGTTGTATAATTTCAGTACCATGTATGCTGTTTTAAACCACAAACGCTGCAATACTCAGCACAATGAGTCTGTGGGTGAATTTCAGGAAATTAGGGGTGGATTGTTGCCAATTAGCAGGCTTGAAATTCTAGATGGGGATGAAATTCATATTGATGATACTAAATCTATACCAAATTTAAAAGTGGATTATTATTTAAGAGATAGACAGCCAGATGTAAAAGAGAATGCTTAGTAAATAAACTGTTAGAACTTTTATATTCAATGCGTTATGCCAGGGAACTAAACACAGTTATAGGCCCCTGGTTTATTAGCAGAATTCTCGATCCACCAATATGATTTAAATCAGATTCTAAATGACTGCTACACTTCATATGTAAACTGTAAGAAGATCTGGGTGCGGTTTTATCAACTGTCGTACGCTCAGTTGTAGCTCAGACTTGTTCGTACAATTGAAAATGGTCTTAGCTGCGACTGAGTGCATACAATCATGTACATAAAACGATCTTATGGTAATCGCAGGTTCGGTCATAAGTTTCAATCGTTAGATCCTTAACGATGGTCTTTGTTGATAAAACGGCACCCAGAACTTTTGTCAGGTATTTCAATCCATTTGTTATTGTATTAAAATTTGTTGATTTTGAAATTCCATTTTGCTAACTGTAAGTCTTTCATGGTCTTAATTTTGTTATCTTTTTCTATTTATGTAATATGTTGTGAGATATTAAGCGCTTGAAATCTATTTTAAAGAATTTAATTTTGATTTTTATCTTGTTACCTTTTTACTTTATCAAAATTGTAACAGTAAACCTTTAAGCGTCTGGTTAACTCAATAGGTAGAGTGTTGGACTGTTAATATATAAGAAATTCTTCCAACTTACAAACATTCAAAACAAATTATCTTAAATGGTGGTTCTCTGGTGGGCACCAAATAATCTAGCTATGTTTTAATATCACATATATACATGTATGTCTCATAAAATGTACAATTTCATACTTTCAAATGTTTGTATTCATTTTCTTATTGCATTTTTCAATTACTCTACTTTTCTATGTTGTATAACTATTATACATTAAGTTTTCTTTCTTTGTTTATATAAATCTTTGTTTGTAACTGTATATATGTACATTTTTGATAGAGGCTCATAGGGAAGACTGGGCTTGCCTAACTATGTTGCCTCTTTAAATAAAGTCTTTATTATTATTATTATTATTATTAATCCAGTGACCTGGGATCGATGCTCAGAAGTCGCAGGTCATTTTCATTGTGATTGATCATGAAATGCTTTCTACGGTCATTCACATTAAACTGCTGTGCTACATGTACAGAAGTTATCAGTTCCTTGTGGAAGCTAAGGCAACTAGTACTGGTTAACTGCTTGACAGCCTACACAGGAACGATGCAGTGGCTGAACTGTTCTCTGGTTAATTAAATGTGGCTCACTGCCTTGATTGGGAGTGGAAACTACCATGACTGTAACCTTTAACATTCTGAATTTATGTAAATAAATAGACTTGTCCTGTCCATTAGATTGGAACAGTCCATTCTAATTTTAAGGAATTTCAATATCAAAGTACAAATATTGGGACAAACAACAGTTTAAATAGAGTCTGAACAGGCTGCACGACCTTTCTGTATAAATGTTATACAGGTAGCAAAGGTTAACAGCTATTGGTTCCAGTGGGTTAAGCTTTTGTTAGTGTTCTACTATTCTGACTTATATTTTAAATAGAGGATATTGAATGAGTGTAGATTTAATACTTAATTTATTGAACAATTTAAATTAATTTAATTAATTAATATTTTGCGAGCCTTTGGCAAGCATAATATTGTTTTATTCAACAAGTTTAATAAATTTAGAATTGAATCTACACGAATATAATATTCTGTTTATCACATATCTAAAATAAGAATGGTTTATAGTTAAATGAGTCATTTTTCGTTGATGCGCCTATAGTGTAATGTTAGCATAAGGGTGCTTTATATTAAAGCTATTTGTATGTTTGCATATAATGCAGATGATGTCATTTAAGTCTATAGTGTAATATTGTTTTTATTAAATGGGTATATTACACTTCTGCCCCATGGTTTATGTGATAAACTAGGGGTATTAAATTTTGTTTACCTCTTTAGTAAAAGATATATAATAAAACTTTTTATTAAATTATGGATATTTTGGGTAAATACTACAAATTGACAATATCAGGGTACTTCGAAACACTGTTTTTATCATTGTAGTTCTTCGTCTGCATTTCCATTAATTAAAACATAGTGTCCTTTTAATTTCACTTAACTTGACCTGCATTAAGTTTTTTAATGAATATTTTAAGGTTGAAGTAAGAAATGTCCATCGGTATTGGTTAGCTTGAAAACACATATTGATAACTACATGTTATGATAGTTTCTTTCATTACAAAAATTAAATTTCTCTTTTAGTCAAAAACCAATTTTTTAAAGCTTTTGTTGCTAAGTGAAAAAAAGCAATGTGAACATTAGTTAATCACATGATTAATCACTGATGTGATCACTAATAACATTTTTTTAATAATGAATTTTTGAAAATGTGTTTTTACTGTTAACATAAGTGGTTTATTATTATTTATGAGGTGTTTAAGTTTAGTATGTGTCATTTTTAATATGGTCATTTAAAAAAAAAAAAGAATTTAAAATTGAATTTTTAAAAATGAGTATTAACTGTGAATTTTTTTTTTTTTTATATATTATTTTCGTCTCAGATTATATAATATGTTATTATCTAAGCGCCTATTATATGTCAATTAATCACTTAGGAGAAGAATTTTATAAGACACATTGTCTTTCATTCTTATCCTGTTTTTTTTAAGAATATTTGAATTGCTCTCTTTATATTGTAAATTGTAACATGTATGTATATATATATTCTGAGAAATAAAATATGTTTAAACTAACAAAAAAAACTAAGTGTGAAATCATGTATTTTCATGAGGCTAAAAACAAAATTAATGTTTCTAAATTATTGATGTTTTAAATACATGTACAAATGTACTTTCAAATTTGTAATTTTGAGTTCAGTTAAAGGGACTCCACTGAGATTTTTTGAAATGATGAATGTGGAAATGATTTTTCGATAATAAAGTTTCATTTGATGTATGTCTAGTTCAATAATTT